AAATGTTTGTTTCTGAGGAGTTCCATATCAGGGCAACAGTGATTGTAAGTTTATGCCTCTCTCCGTTGATTTTATTTGTAGCCTTCAAATACTATAACAGTAATATTTTGTCAAGTAGTAACCTCTTCGTAACTCTAAATCCAATCTTTCTGTACAATAGACTGGCGGTATTTCGGCAAATTGGTAAAATTCGCCATATTCTTAAAATGGCCCGGTGATGCCCCATGACAATTTGAACAGCTGAAGCTTGAGGCGCCTGATAAACTTACGCATATCTACTCTGTTAAAAAAAAAAAAAAACAATTGTTTTCATATATTTCCATTAAGAAAATTTCTATTCGGGAAATGAAACCAATCACCTTTATTACTTTTGAGAGAAATTTTCTTTCTAGTACAAATATCTTTCAGCCTAGCGGTGGACAATCCCTAAGGACTTTGGGCTAGGAGGCGTTTAATTTCTTCTTTCTTCACCGAAATAAGCCAGCAAAATGAGAGTTGAATGCAATGCAAATAAGCTGAGGGAAAATCTTTTTGGCGAGAAAAATTTCCGCTGCCTGTGCAACACTTGAAAATTAGAAAATATTTTGCCTATTCCAACTCTCACTGCCTCACTTACTATGCAGGTTGCTCCTTGTGCGAGCGACGCCAGAGTACAAACTTCCTGGGCTGTGACATGCAGTGATCCTAGCGCTAAAGACAAGGTTGAGTCCAGTGATGGGTTCCGGGCGACTAAAAATCAAAACACCCTCAAGATAAGCAAGGGCGTGTTTACCAGTGACGTCAACTGTACATTTACTGTGACTGCAAGTATGAAATACGATCCTAGTGTTAAGACCTCCATCAGCCAAGACATCAAAGCCTTGCCCAGTCCTCTGGAAGCCGCCATACTTGGAGGTAAGAACAATTTTGTGATTTGTACAAAATGTGAAGAAGAACACGAGCTCGTACTCTATCGCTGGGTGTTGATGGAGGACTTAATCGCTGTTTCTGAAGAGACAATACTTTGAACCTCAAGTAAGGTTGACCTACTTGGTTTTATGGGATTCAGATCCACGTCAAAGTAGCTGATCTTGAAGGAAAATTAATTTGAAATGTTTCCCTATGAACCTGTAGAATTACCTCTCGATTGAATGTCATTAAATCGAAGCTAAGTGGAGTGAAGCCTACAATCGGTGACAAAACTGTTGATACATGATACATTAACCTTTCCAACCCCTCATTCCTAAAACATTGTTGTATCGTGATCCCATGAACCTTAAGCTACATACAGGCAACATTGAATAGGGGGCTGGGGGGGAGGCGGAGTGTCTTGTTAATGATTTATACCAGAGTGTGGTAGAAACAGGAGTGTTATATCCCACATAGATAGAACTCTTCAAACATGATGTGTCAACTAATTTTGACGCTGATTTTAGGTAAATCTTACATGAAGATCGCTTAAATTCAAAATACTTCTACTTTAATGGCTTCAATGGTGAAGAAACTTCACGGAAACTTCGCGAAAATTTTATCTTTTATTTAGATTTTTTTATTTGAATTGAAAATTATGCTGGATTGAAAGAGAATCAATTCATCAGAGCACATTTTTTCTCATCTCATGATCCACCAACACCATGATTTTTCTGTTCCCAGGCGATCGACTTATTGGTCGTAACAGCGGTGCAATTAAACTGGACGCCAAAACATTGACCATCGATCCTGATGGAACGAACCATGAGTTATCTTGCAGCTGGAGTTGTGCAGTTCTTGGCGGTGGCTTATGTAATCCCACCGTGGATAATGACTTTATACTTTCTACTGCCAATGGCTGTATAACCGAAGTGCAGAGTAACCATTTCTTCGCTGGGAAAACTTATGTAATCAGGTTTGTCCCAATATAAAGACTAGCTGTTTAGATCTTAAAATAAATAGAAAAAAATAAAAGGAAAATCAGAGAAATCTGGCAATGTTATAAGCTAGTGATAATATTATCTCGCAAGCTTTTACGTCTATTGAGTTTCTATTATTTACCTTTACCAAACGGCTGTATTTTAAATTTATAGAGTTACTTACCGAGTTCTCTTATTAAGGAATAAGTGTAGAGCTCATTTCTGAAATATAATTATGGAAAGGGTGCTCGGTAAGTAGTAACGGTGTTCATCTCTCTTGAGGCATTTTCAGCGGACACTTGCAAGGTTAAAAAAATCCCTACAAATGTATTCACTAAACGAAAACAAACGGTGTTTAGTATTTCAACCTTTTTAAAAAGTTGAAGGAAGTGTCAGTTTGAAAAGTATTGGAAGTGGTTTGCCCTGAATGTCCGACGAAAAAAGAGGTCTAAGTACGTTTTTATGATAAAAGCGCGGATCAGCGTAATGTCCCTTTTACGTTTTTAAGCAGTTTTTCCACTTTCAATAACTTTAATGTCACTCTGAATTTCCACGCATTTTTAATAATTTATATCCAGTGTGGATGTTACAAAAGGTTCCCGGTCTGCTGCGGCCTCCATAGAACTAACTGTGGTGGAAGGTGAACCACCAGCTGTGTGGGTGGATGTAGCAAACATAAAAATGAACCCAAATGACAGACTGACACTGCAGGGATACTACAAAACAAACACAGAGCCTACTAAGGTGGAATGGAGCTGTTCAGAAGAACAAGGTGTGTTGAATTGAGATGATGAACATAACTCAACGTGGCATTGGCCTTCGTGACCGACTTTGATCTTCTGTCATCAGGAAATACCTCACTTGGTAGAGATTTGGGAAAAGTTCCATTGGACCCCTGGTTTTGAGCTAAGAAATCTGAAAGTCTTGCACGAGTACAACACGAATGACCTAACAAGAATTCGAACCCGTACCTTTCGGGCTCCATCGCTCTATCAATTTTGCCACCACATCCTAAATTACTGCTGACGCTGTCGGTTCAAACGCTTTTTCTGTGCCAAAGAGGTGCCACATTTACCAGCGATATTTTTTTTTTCTCCTTTCTGCAGGATTTTCTTTTGTGGAACTGAGTGGGTACAATCCTGTCACCTCGTTTAAGCCTGGCAACAACTCATTTGTTCTTTTGACGTTGCCCTTAAATCTTCTCAAACCTGACTCAAAATATCGATTCAAGCTGACAATAAATGAAGGAAATGAAGAAGGTGAAGCGTCTCTGGCAGTACACGTGAGAGCAGGACCCACTGCCGGACCGTCTGCCGGTTTGTCTGTGTCGCCAATCTCCGTCCAAGCACTGAATGTTGTTACTCTGTCAGGTGAGTCTGTTAAGGAAAATAATGAGGCAGAATTGAATTGGAAAAATAGAAATGTATGAAAACAATTTTTTTTTTCAACAGAGATGATATGCGTAACTCTATCATACACCTCTAGTTTCACTTTAACGAGGAAGATGCAGTCGAAGTGTGAAATTGTTTTTTGCACGTAGTTTCGTTCCCCATAGGGTGAACAATTTTCAGTCTTAAGCCTTTTTGTAAAGGGGTCTGCCTAAGATTTAATCATTTGGGAGGTTTTAAAGATTAATTGTATTTCCTTCAGGTTATCACAATTCAGACTCCTTGTTTGAAATATGATCTCTCTTAAGATGCCTGTGTTCATATTTAGTGGCATTTTTCGCTCTGTTTTGATTGGCTGATCTGAATCTTCGACTTAATTTTTAAACAAGCGATACTTCATAATTCGTTCAGGCAACACGAAGCCGCTCGAGGGAAGCATGGCGATGTCCACAAATCGTACTATACCTCGTAAATCAACTATATTGAGTGTTGCTTATGCCCCGAAAATGTCTCTCTTATTACTTCCATAGGAATTCTGCGAGTTTATTTAAGAGCAATGTTCAATGATTTTGTTTATACTCCTACAGATTAGACGTATTTAGTGATGTATCCTAGCCCGTCTGAACCGTGTCACCGTATAAATTCTATTATCGGTATCTTTTGTTTCATTTTGTTTCGCCACTATTTTCTGCAGCTTCTGGATGGGTAACTGACCAGGATGCTTATCCTATACGATACTCATTTGGCCTGCTGGTCGAAAAAGATGTTTGTGAGGCCTTTGGACTTCCCTCAAACGATCTTGAACGAGAACAGATAGTGCCCCAGGGATCCGGTTCAGATTACATCCTTTCTCTGTGTGTGGTGGTCTTGGACAAGTTTAACTCGTTTGCCATAAGGACGTTTAACATCACCTCAAGTCCACCAAGTAGCGATGATTTGACCCCAGATGCTCTGGAAAGCTTGCTTCAAAGTACCGTAGACAATCCCTTACAGAGTGGTAATGTTGATGGAGCCCTTGGCGCTGTAATGAGTATCGTGGACACAGTGCAGACGTCTAATGAAACTACAGGTAAATCGCCATATTGGAGTTGTGCTGTGAAATGTATATCTAAAATAACGATATGAACCTTTAAGCTGAGCCACAATCAAAGAAGTTGTAGAATAGATGATAAGAAACATTCAGGCTTCATCGAAATGTGGCTTCACCGCTCAGTTGGCTATAGCACTAGACTAGCATTTGAGAAACCTGGACGTTTTGCTTAAACTGAAGCTGACCTGCGAGAATAATTTTTTTACTTATACATCATCCGCAGGTCAAAATATCATGCATATTCCGTTAAATAGAGGATAAGATATTTATTAAAGGGAATGTAACTGGAGACACCAACTTGGAGGCCAATTAACGTTGTTAAGATCGTTATCGACTAACAGGACTGAAATTATTTTTGCGTCAATGCTTCAGTTTTTACGCATACAGGTAAGAACATACATGAAGCAAGGCCATCCGACATTAAATGAGAAAAGTACGACAAAAGCCAACAATCGCTTTCCTCTGAACTTTCTCTTGTTTAAATGTGCCGTTGTAAATAGAGAAAAAATTCACCCATTGCTTAAGAATGGAATGACTCCCTTTGCTTAGGTGATCATTTTTCAGATATGCTTGTTTCTTTTAAAACACCAAATTTCAGATGAGGTTAAGACCAACATTTCTCGAAGAACAGAAGAAGTTGTGCTGGATATTGTTGAGTCCACTGTGATCGACCAGGATTTAGCATTTCCACTTTTGACTGTTCTCGTCAAGACGAATATAACAGCATCGGAGAACAGGTAGACTAGAAGACATGATATTTTGAAACTAAGGATTTATCAAATGTATTAATATATCCATTGTCCTTGAGTATTTCAAACCCAATAAAATCCTTATAATTGCGGTTAGAAAACAATCTTGCTTTTCGAATACTGATTTATGCTCCGTTTCAAGTTGAATTTGGTGTTAAACCAAATCCGAGTTTTAAAGCCAGGATTCTGGCAAATTTGAGAGATTAGAAAACGGTTTTGACAGTTATAAATCTTTTGCGACTTATTATTTCTCACGCTGTCTTTTTAAGGTCGTCATCGCGATCTTATCTTTAATTCCTTTATGATTCACATTTTACTATCTATTTTGACTAGATATATTAGACACAGTAAATGACTCGTTCAACTTTCTTGAAAACATGGAGATCTCCCCACCCCATACGTTTCTTCAGTTGTGTGATTGGTCATATGAAGGTGAACGTAACTGAAGAAATATTAACGCGAAGTATTTTACAGTTCTAGGACGGCTAACGCTGCATTGAAAATTCTGCAAAAACTAGACGATAAACCACTATCGGATGATTTAGCAGGGGACTTTTACACATGGGTTGCTGACCTTGCGGATGATTCTATTGACAACAACGACGGCTTGAAAGAGGTAAGAAGTGATATACGTGTAACTACTGACGTGTTAGCCTAAATACTTTTGATTAGTATATACTAAAACAGTGTATAGCGTTGAAGGCGCGCTTTGATTGGCTAGTAAAACTCCGAATATCCTCTGCTATTTACCTCCGAGCAACTCGGGAAAAAATGGCGTCCCAGCTTGCATCCCTGACAAGCGAAGAAATCGCTCAGACAAAAATTAATTTTTGGTGGTATATATTATCTCACTGTTTTAGTATATACAACTATTCACCTCAGTGTCCGTGGTTAGCGGTTGATATTTACCAGTAACCACCTCCACTTCGGTGAATAGTTGTTCAATATACAGCATACTATGCGGCAGCACGTGGATGCCATCTTTTATTCGAATGGTGACTTTATCCGTCATGAATGACCGAAGGGACCGAGTTAGAGACACTATCAGCTTGCGAAGATAAATTCGTAGAAACTGGCAAACATGAAATTATTAAAGTAACATTCGATTGAAAAATATTCGCAAAACATATCACGAAAGCATCAAATGCAGTAATTACCTATTTTTTTTACTCTTTATCTCCTGTTGGTGATGAACTAAAGCCAGTCCGTAAAAAGTAAAAACGCTAAAACGCAAGAATAGTATCATTGAGGCAAAATAAAAGTTCTATCAGTTTGAACCCCTTTAACTTTAATAGTAATACGTAAACCTCTCCTTCGACCAACACAGAACTAGAGAGAAAGAACTTATTTCTGTGCAAAATCACTCTTAAAAACCCGCTCTTTTTTTAACTATGAAATTGGCAGACTGTAGGAAATGCATTGGAGAAATTTGCGGATAACATTGGGACGGAATTAAAGTGCGGGGATCCTCCCAGGGAAGTATCCGATGACAGACTGGGATCAGTCAAGGTGCAGGTGGCGGAATTAAAAGAAGAAATCGTATCAAGCAGTAGGCCTGGAGCCCCAAGATTTGACCCGGGCCCACAACTATCTAAAGAGTACAGTGGTACGAGGGAGTGCGGAGGGGGAAAACTCTGCTGTGGTGTGTTTTTGAAGATGATTCGGTACGAGAAGAATCTAATTGTAGCAGATGAAAGCAAACAGACTGATGACTCTCAAGTTGTCAGCTCTCAGGTTTGTATCAAAAGCAGCAAGGCTTAGGTAGTCCAGTGACCATTGATGTCGGAGCTTAGGTAGCCTAAGGGAGACTAGAAATCCTTTTAATTCTGCTGAATGTAAAGATGGCCAAAAAACGTTATTCATTCTGTCAGGCGTCCCTGAGTTGAGGGAGGCATACTGATGGCAGAGTCTCAAGATTAAGGCTCAACAAAAACCTAAACTCTCCAACCGCAGTTCAGCGCACCAACCAATAGGTGAACGACCATACAACAGCAACGCCTTTTGACAATTTGATGGCTTTTTCTCCTTTCCAAATAATGATGCAAAAGTCGCACCCCGAAATTGTTGTGGAGTTTTGATTTAGTAAAACCCCGATTTCGAGGATCCCAGGACAAGCTATGAATTCCGCATTGGCTGTTTCTTTTGGCATTTGAGAGCAAAGTCTGTGTACTACTGTTCTTTCATTCCCTTATGAATTGGTCTTCATGGAAAGTGAAAAAGGAAGAAATGAACATTCTTATAAACCAAATTTCTTAGCAATTTCATCCCTAAAAGCCCTCGAAGTTCGTAACGTTGTCAAGAAGAAATCTGAGGTATGTTTTAACCAGATAAAACTCATAGCATACAGATGATAAAGATGAAACTGTGGAAGTTTTAAAAAACAAAATGATTCTAGCATTTTATCATTCATTTTCAATGTTTTTTTTATTATTTTTCGAATTCTAGATTATTGGTGTGGATCTGCGCGATCCTATTACGAAGACTCCGCTTGTGATTCAAAGCCTTGTACACCCTTTGAAGCTCTTCTTTTTCATACCATCAGTACCGAAAGAGAAAAAGCTTGGGTGTGTCTATTTCGATGAGGATAAAATGGTCTGGTTAAAAACCGGTTTGAAGGCAGTAGGACCTGTTTCTAGCAATTTTACTTGTGAGTCTACGCACGCCACCTACTTTGCTCCGTCTCACGATTCAGTCTTGACTAAAGGTAAGTTTAGTGAGGTTATGAATCAAGCCTACTGGCTAAACGGATGACAAAAGACACGGAACATCTTAACCCATTAAAGTGTCCCTCACCACTATTTTTCAAATTTCTTTTAAAAAATAAGACATAATTTAGTGAAGATTAAAAAAGGAATTGACTTATCCATTAAATCCTCGCACATCTATGAAGGTTTGAAGTTGCGATATTCTGGTTCACGGCCGCGCGAAAGGAGATCTGGGACCTAATGTGCCTGTGACGTCGGCCGCGGAAGCTAATTTCTTAACATTCGATAAGATCGTGCGATCAGCTGGGTTTTATCTGACATTTCTGACTTTTAGGTTGCTTATCTTGACCCTCAGTCACCGATATCATTTCAAACCATCAAGAAATGGCAAGAGACCAAATAGAGTCCAACTATTTGATTGAGTCCGAGGACTGTGATGTCTGTTCCCCTTCCCCCCCCCCCCTCAGAGTATGACATCGAAGTTGAAGATCGCGACTAGCGTCTAATTTTCCAAGCAATAACATCCCCGAATCAAACATTGTCGAAACGAGATTGAGGCTAATTCTCCTGGTCAGCTCCTTAGGAAATTTATAAAGAACAGCTTGGGGAGTATGCGTACTGATGTTAGATTGTAATACATATGGTTAATAAAACGTTAAGGATTTTATTGCATTTCCTCACAAAATGTTCCAAAAGGGTGTTAAAAATGGATGAATGTTGCGTGGAAACGCGGCAAAATTAAAAAAAAGGGCAACACTTTCTTAGATGCGAAAACACTGATGTTTCTTCTGCAGGCTCGCGAAATAAGAAGTCTTGTTGTATTTTTTGCAGAACAATCCTCAACTGACGCTACAGGCGCCATCGTTGGTTTGGTGATGGGTTTACTGATGGGACTTTTGGCTGTCCTTCTTGTAATTTTATTCATCTTGTGGAAGAAACATCAAAAAGTAACCACAGAGCTTCCACAACTCGAGCACAGACTTTGATATTCTGGCGAAATCAACTCAACAAAACGACAGTGGTTTAGCGTGGTCTGTACTCTTATCGACAAAGATATTCGTCGACACAGTGGTCAAAATATTGTGTACTCAGGCATGACGTGTAGTTGAGTGAGTTCGTGACAAATATTGAGCGCTGTAACGACGAATATCCTTGTTGATAAGTGTACAAACTGCGATAAACCGCTGTCGATTTGTTTTTTGCCACAATATCGCCTTCAACATTTCTGGGGCACTGCGTAAAACTTTGACCCCAGTAGCGTCGTCTGTACTCTTATCGACAACGGCAGATTGGCCAATCAAATTGCGACATTGTGGTAAAATCATAAATTGTTTCCTCTACTTTATAACTTTTGTCATTTATTCATTTTTGGTTGCTAAAGAGCCTTGCCTCGAGATATGAGACCTCTTGGTGTTTCTTTGCTCTAACACACGCTGCCGAATAGCTATTTCCATCGCCGTCTTCGTCGGTGATAAACGCTTTAAACTGTAAGGATTGGAAAGTCTCTAGGGAAAGGTGTGAACTCGAAATTATGGTTGTTTAATTCTCATTTACTGAGGAGTAGTTTTGGCGACGTAAATCAGATGTAATGGTAGACTAAGACTTCAGATGGGTAAAGTAATCAGGTGGAAACGTTGAACAGTTTTGTTTTGCCTACATTTGTAAATATTTTCATAGAGTTTTTCCTATAAGTTAAGTATAACTAAGCATCGATGAGCGAATTGGAGCTCGCTTAGGCCCGGTTCAAACGTCGAATTTCACATTTTCCGAACTTAATGCGAGAGTTAAATGCCTGTGAAGTGCAACGTTTGAATCAATTAAATTCGACTGTTTTAAATTAAATGCGACTTTTGCCGTATCTGCGACTGAAACAGTCGAAGATTCCACTTTGGTTCGACTTTTGATTCAAACGTCGCATCTCACATGTGCCGATAATAATCCATGAATTACAGGAAATTATTATAATTCATTTATTACCCACAACTCGCCAGGAATTCTATGAATGCCATGCGCGAAAAAGCTAAAACAGCACAAAGAAATGGTGGGAGATGAAGGAATTTGTAGTTCTTGCTTTGAAAAGACAAAATACAGTTGTTTGACGTGCGGTAATTACTTTTGTATGAGGTGTTCGGTTTTTTTAAAACGAAGAGGGCACTCATGGGTGGAAGTAGGAAACTCTGTGGCATATTGTGGGTCGTGTTTCAATGTAATGATGGAACGTGAATCAAGTGAAAGTATCATGACGAAAAGCCAGGATAAAGAAGTAAAAACAAACAGCAAAACAAGAGCATCAGGGAAGCAATTAAGCAAACGCTCAATAGACGTCTTCGTCTAGCAAATAAGTAGTGCGCCTGGGAATATTGACAGCGAACAGAGTTAATGCGACAGAGTTAAATTCGACGTTTGAATCAAACGCCGTATTTAACTATTTTAGTCGACTAAAATAGGAGTTAAGTTCGGCACATGTGAAATTCGACGTTTGAACTGGGCCTTAGCGAGTTTACATTGACTACATGATAAATCATTGTTTGAAATAATTGAGTTGTTGATTATCAAGTTATTACGCCCTCTATTGCTTCACACTACTCCTAGATTGTGTACCATTAACACTATAAAACTTCACTTCCTGCTATAAGTGGGAATTTTTAGATTCGTGCACGTTTGAAATTTGGACATAAAATATGTTTTATCTAGTAAGACATTAACGTCATCGTAGTTAGAAGAGGAGAATATTGTAGAGAAAAAAAAAACAAACAAGACAAAACAAAAACATGTTATTGTTTGGATAATGGTTTTCTTTTTATGTTTGTTGTAATTTGTTAGAGAATAAATATGTCAGACAAACCAAGTTAAGTGCTTTTGAAATATTCTAGGATTGAAATTTATCTTTAACCCTTCAGCTCCTAGAACTCGATTGACATGTAACTTCTCCCTATAATAAAGGCTGATAGTTTCGAAAGAAACTGTTTGGGGCTGCGTCGGTGGGAGTAACGAAATAATTTGGATATATCAACAAAGTTGAAATGGTAAATTGGCCACCGTAATTATTACAAAAGCTGACGTTTCGAGCGTTAGCCCTTCGTCGGAGCGAAAAGAGGAATTGTGGGTTGTGTGTGCTTTAAAAGGCAGAAAATGGAGCTACGTTATTGGTGGGAGCATGGCAACGAGAAAAACATGAGTAAATTAGTGGAATGAAAAGCGTTCGTTGATCCCTGTGGGATTTAGACTGCCGGTTTGAAAGATGAGCTTTTGTTCAGGATTTTTACGGCTTTCCGTAACACCTAAGTGCAAGGAAAGACCGCAGATTGCCATACGTTGCTTAGAATGATTAGGAAAATTAAAATGTCTAGCGACTGCTTTCGATGTGTCCTTGTCATTCCTTCCCACGTCTCGAAGGTGTTCTCGGAATCGGTCACCTAGTCTTCTGCCTGTTTCGCCGATGTATATCTTTTTGCAATAAGTGCAAGTTATGCAATAGATTACATTGGCGGAGGTGCACGTGAAGTGATCGGTGATCTTAATGGATCGTGTAGGTCCCGATATTTTATCAGTGTTGTGAATGAAAGGACACGTTTTGCATCGTGCACGAGCGCATTTAAAAGTGCCTGGTTGGTCATTAGTCTGAAAAGAACTTCTGACCAAAAAATTGCCTATGTTTTTGTCGCGTTTGAATGAAATGAGCGGAGGCTGCGAAAAGATAGTGCTTGTCTCTGGATCGTTTTGAAGTAATTTAAAGTATTTAAGAATGATGGATTTAACTGAGTGGCTGTGAGGGTGAAACGTGAGAGTGAATGGAATGCAGTCGGAATCTTCCTTATGCGACGTTTGTAGTGCTGAATGTCGATCAATAAGTTCAGCGCGGTGGTAACCCGCTTGAACGACGGAAACAGAGTAACCACGTTTATCGAAGAACTGGCACATTGACTCTGATTTGTGGTGGAAATCAGAGTAATCACTACATAAACGACGAAGTCTTAGAAACTGAGAAAAAGGAATGGAATTCTTAGCGTGAGATGGATGCGAAGACGAATATAACAAGTAATTATGCGAGTCTGTAGGTTTGTAATACACACTAGTGCATAAACCGTTACCTTCAATTGAAACTTTGACGTCTGAAAAGGATAAAGAATTGTCAGAATTTCCCAAGTATATTTCAGAGCCAGGTGAAAAGAATTGACTGCGGTTATGAATTTAGTGAGCTCCTCTCTGGTAGAGGAGATAGCGCCGATACAGTTGTCGATGTAGCGACCGTAGAGTTCAGGTTTGGACCCGTTGTATTGGCTGAAAAATTGATGCTCGACAACACCCACAAAAAGATTGGCATAGTTAGGTCCCATTTTGGTGCCCATGGCTACACCATTGGTTTGTTTGAAGAAGTTGTTTCCTAATGAAAAACAATTGAGTGTGAGCACTAGTTCGGCTAGGCGTAGTAGTGTTTCAGATTAAGGTTCCTTAACAGTACGTTGATCAAAAAAATGTTTAAGAGCCAGAAGGTCTTCGCCATTAGGAATGACATAACAAACTTCTTTTCACCATGGATATTACGTCTCTTTACACTGTCATCCATTAAAATATCGGGACCTAAACGATCCATTAAGATCACCGATCACTTCACGTGCACCTCCGCCAATGTAATCTATTGCATAACTTGCACTTATTGCAAAAAGATATACATCGGCGAAACAGGCAGAAGACTAGGTGACCGATTCCGAGAACACCTTCGAGACGTGGAAAGGAATGACAAGGACACATCGAAAGCAGTCGCTAGACATTTTAATTTACCTAATCATTCTAAGCAACGTATGGCAATCTGCGGTCTTTCCTTGCACTTAGGTGTCACGGAAAGCGGTTCTGTCCTCGTGTACCGGTTCACAAGAGCCGATACAAAAGACCGAACAATACACAACAGCTAACCAATGACTCCTAAACAAAGAAAGAACAATGGCCAATTTACCATTTCAACTTTGTTGATATATCCAAATTATTTCTCCCTATAATATCCATACATTATCCAGCAAACAGGTAATGAGAATACTCCAACTTATCAGTTAAAAGTTTTCTCGACGTAACACCATATTCTCCTAACTAATTTAGAAGGAAATTTGTAGCAGCTCGAGGGGAGAATTAACAATCAGATCCTCAGAAATAATGGATTAAAAGCTTTCATTTCGAAAGGGTGCAATACTAAAATCCCGTTTTGCAGCCTGTAACCTACTCCTGCATGCGTCATGAACAAGTTCGGAACAAGATGTGTCGTTGATACTTGTTGATTATCTATTTTCGAGGTGGTCCCTTTGCGCACCACCCCGACATTGGACAATCAACCAATCAAGATCGTGAAGACGACGAACACGACCCACTCTTTTTCAGCCACTTTTACCAGATGGGGACAATTTTGAAAATGAATACAGGGATATAAATCAATGAATTTGAATATATGGAAATCATGTATGCGTATTGCGGTTTAATAAAATGTATGAAAGCGGTCCTCGTAGTAATGAACCCTACTTATGTAGTAGTGGAAATAAGGCCTGAAAACAAAATTCAGGCCCCTACGGGATTTGAACCTGGTATGACCTCTGCGATACCGGTGCAGTGCCCTACCAACTGACCTAACGAGCCAACTGGGAGCTGGTCATTATGTTGATGAAACCGCAGTACATATATGATTAGATTGATATTGGTGAATACCAGGTACAAAAGATTTGAATCGTTATTCTCTCCTTCATGAGGTTCAAGTTAAGAGAAAATAGCGTTTCGTCGAGATAACTTCCTTTCGTCGATGAAATAACCATTTATTTTCATTCGGAATTTCTCTCCACCATGACAACATAAGAATTACAGAACTTTGGAACAAAAATTTTTTAACAAATGTTTTTTTTCGCTTAATTTGGGATTGAAGAAGATACTCCATGCATCATCAGTGCTCCCTCGTGTAACATAATTCCTTTGTTCATCGAAACCAGAAGTAACCATAAATGAGCGAGTGATTTAGTTAGAGAATATCAAGCATGATTGAGATTGATAAACCATGAATGCCCATTAGCGCACTAATGTTCCCCTTGATCATCATAAAGGGACAGAATTAGGTTGTACTGCGCGGTCTCTGACCTATTAAGAGGTTTATAACCGAGAAGTAACATAACAGAACGGCAACTGTCCTCTATGATGTTAACAAGCTCTGGATCCACTTCAAGCCTCCATTTATCGATTTGTGCTTTGGAGTTCCGATTTGTCGACAAGGCGTCTCCGTTATTCTTGTTATTCTCTGAAGTATGACTCTTGACCCATCCAAGAGTGTTCTTATGCATTCTTACTTCAGTAAGATCAAACACCCTTTTCAATGTTCCAGTAAGATTTTTGGTAAGGTCTTCGTATCGAAGCAGAAAGTATTTTTCTTTCATTTGCCCGGTGAAGTTTTGAAATGTTCTCAAATTAGCTTCGATTTGTCGACATATCTTGGTACTGTAGAGCATCAAAGACTGTCGAGGGCCATTGTCTTTGGAGTGACCTTCAAAGTACCGCCAAAATCTTATGCCTACTTTTACTTGCGAAAAGATCATTGGACGTGGGTCCCTCACCAAGTATATCATCGAACAGGTGGTCGACTTGCATAGAGGAAACAATGACTCGACCTTGTTTCTGGGTATTCTTGGAGTAAGAAATTTCACAACTGTTATGTTATAGTTAGACTTGCAAACATTTTCTATTTTACTGTGGGTCAATTTGTCACATTTGTTGGCCGGTTTATTGGGAGAATTATCTATTTTGCACAATAGTGATGCAAAAAGTGCGTTGCTCTTGTATCTAAAACGCCTTAGACACTTCGCACAGGTGAACTTACAGCGTAAAATTCCTCTAAGGAAATTCATACTTTCTGCATTGTCGATTTCTTGGCGTAGAAAACTCATTAATCCGTGGAGAGGCTCAAATATATAAAATAGATCAGGATTTTGGTTGAAAGCGCCGCCAAGAAGAGACGAACCTGAACGAGGCTGAGCTAAAATGATGACAGTTCTTCTTGGGGATGTGTCAACAACTGATTGCTTCGTTTCTTCTTCGCCATTTCCAGCAAGTTTTCTATTCATATTGTTGACAGCAGGGATAACATGCTTGGGTGATTTTCTCTTCTCTGCCGTTGAAATTATTCCATTAGCTTCGAATTTTTTGTGTACCTTAACTTCCCTGATGTGCTTCTCGATAGAAGTGGCAGAAATCTGTCAGCTCTCGTGCTTTATAATTACTGGCGCACCAGCATTTTGTACAACTGCTTTCCTTTTATTCATGACCGCCAACTTGAACTTGATTTCGTTAGGAGTGCGTGATGGAAATGGCTGCTCGTCGCCACGGTTCTTTTCACGTGAATAATTTGCTCTTAAAAACATCCTCAGAGACCGCTTTTGTTCCATTGACCCATCGATGATTTCAATTTTTTTTTCTCTCGAATTAATAACGATGTATCCGTTGTTGGGTCAACGTCTCTCCGTAATCTTTCCTGAGCAGTAAGCCCTCCATGACCAACGTCCTTTACTTCTAAGAACATCAGATACGAGGTAAAGGTGTAAGCGACGATAAGGATTCCAAAAACGGAAACAACTAAAATCTCCCTAGTAAAACTGTCGCTCTAAAGAATATTGTTGGAAGAAAAATCATTTTGGAAACTTCTCCTTGCTTTCTTCACGGATTAATGATTGTTCATCACAATTCGCTCCGTAGTTATTGGTTTAAGGATATTAGGGACCTTAAGCAACCACGACGGCGACGGCAACGAGGGCGTTGAAAAACAAGAGATCTAATTGGCAGAACAATAGCTCAGCACGTGCATTTTGAAACTTTGTACATTTCTTAGCCGTCCTATGCAAAACAACAACGTGAAATCGTCAAAATTTGCGTCGTCTGCGAACTGAAACCGCGACGGCAAATTATTCTAATTTCCATTTGGAACTCAACGCTACTTCTATACGTCATGCTGAAGTTGAGCTGTGGCGTCGTATGAGACAGTAAGCTCATGCAGCCATTTTTAAAATTCTAACTAAGAGTAGAAATTCATTTTTTAATCGGTCTTCATTGGCGTTGCCGTCCTGACTGCTTAAGGTCCCTATTATGACGAATCATATACATGCAAATATTACTAACTTCTGCTGGCAAAATCGTCATCAGAGGCGTTCATGTAAGAAGGATGACGCTTTGGCCGAATGTTTACAGAAAATTAAACAGCCTTTAACCTTTCATCAGTATGCATATTCTCCATACTGTTCTCTAAACATTTCCTAAGGTGCAGACAAGGAGAGTTTGTTTAACAATCAAGAGCTTTTTTTTTTTTGTTGGTGATCATTTCCTTTATTCTCCTTACGTTAATGTGTGATTCAGGGGAGATATTGTAATGGAAAATAAGATGATAGTCACTCTTAAAGGTTTCAGAGGAAAACTTGATTAAATAGCTTTTTTATTTGGGAGTGGGAGGGGTGGGGGATGAACAAATAACGAAACTAGAAATGCGACGAAAGAGGTTCGAGGAAAACAATTAGGAAACTAGATTTAGTTATTCGTTGGCGTTCATTCCTTAGCTCCCAAGTTATATGACAATCAGTTTATTTGGTAATATCAACTCAGTCGAAATTGTAAATGGGCCACCGTAAAGAGTTAACTGAAATAGAACTCTTTACGGTGGCCAATTTACAATTTCAACTTAGTTGATACTACCAAATTACCTTGTTACCCCCACCAACGCAGCACCACAGTTTCTTTAGAACCTGACTTACCCCCTTTATATGATAATCACCTCTGGGAGTAACAATGTTCAAACTCTAAGATGGTTTATTTTTCGCGTTTATCCTTCGCTTATTTTATCCTTCCTTACTTTTACTAATAGAATATGATAACTGACAATCTCTGCTATCTTCTTCATGGCCAGTTTATTCTCAAGAAAACAATCATTCTGCAAGGGCTTTTACAGTGATCTCACCAACTGATCACGACGTCAAAAACGCTGACATCAATCAAGATGTTTAAGTCAATAATTAATCAATGGCCACTCGATAATCAAATGTTGAGGTGTGTTTTCTGTCATTAAAATCTTTTACATGAGATTGGTGTTGCTTTTCATGAGTTTTAATACTGAACTGATCATCAGTGATTTTAGTTGCAACAGTTTTTAGCCGAAATAGTTTGTAAAAAACTCAGTCGAGACAAAAGGGATTCTCTTAAGCGAAAGCGTTCAAAGCAACTGATAAGTGCTCTGTTTTAGGCTTTACACGGCGACTCGTTTAATTAAAAATTATTTGCCGCAGGCATAGTGAATATTGTCGAATAATTCCCGGACGAAGTCGAAGGGATTATTCAACAATCTTCGCTGAACCTGAGGCGAACGATTTTTTTAGTATAATTGCTAAGGTGCTTTCGAAACGTTAAGTAAACTGACAATTGTTAATTCTGTTCCAATGATTTGGATTACTCGCTTCGAGATACGAGGCCCCAGCTATAATCACCTTACGCGAAATGATTAAAGAGATATATGACGCAACCCTTGACCAATCAGAGCGCGTGCATCTCTATAATCACCGGGGCAGTTGAAATAAATATAGTATTTTTAACCTTTTATATTCTAACATCAGTTTACAAGTTCTCCACGCTGTTCTCGATGTGATACTTGCAAGGATGATTTGTACAACAATCAAGTGCTTCTTTAGGGAAGGT